AGGTATAATTTTTATTCATTCACATTGGACAGCTATTGTTGTGTTGGCTGTTGTCATTTTTTTTTATTTGACAATCTAAGGGAAAAAGAGGTCAGTACCCTAGACTAAGTAGTCAGGTATTGTATATTTTTTAAATTCTTGTAGCACACCAGTTGAAAATCACTGATATAGATTATATAGATATAGTTATAGTTATAGTTATAGTTATAGATAATATAGATATAGGTATAGGTATACATAATGTATGGATATGGATGTATGTATATATGTGTGTGTATATATATGTGTATACATATATGTACACACACGTTCACTAAAACATTTCCTAGGAATTCATAATGCCTAAAAAAGACGTTAGTTTTGATAAAACAATGTAATTAAGCAATCAGAGATTTGGGAAATTTTAATTCCTCTGATTTTAAAGCACACATTCATATAGGCCAGTGGTCGGCAAACTGCGGCCCCTTGAGTGTGTCTCTTCCACAAAACACCACGTGCGGGCACACACGTACAGTGCGATTGAAACTTCATGGCCACACTGAAGGGGCCGAAGAGCCGCATATGGCTCGCGAGCCGCGGTTTGCCAACCACAGATATAGGCTATTGTAAAGGTGTGGATGTTTGTGGAATAACGTGGAATAACATTTACTGAATGGTTATTAAGTGCCAAGTAACATGGTTTGCACTTTCATGCACTCCTATTTACTCCCTACACAACCCCGTGTAATGATGTCATCATCACTGTTTACAGATGAACAACTTGTCCCCAGTCACCCACTAGTAAGAAGACCTGGGATTTGAACTCTGGTCTGCCCTGCCCCATTCTATGCCTTCTGCATTCATCCTCGGGGATGCCCAGCTCTCAAGCTTGGGGTGTTTGGCAGTTTAGCATAATGACATTCATAGTTCCCCAAATCCTTATTTAAATCAAGCTTCTGTTTGATTATCAGACTCTTATAGACAAATGCTTTAGGTTAACCTGTCATATGTATGCACTGAATTCTGAATATCTTTGGTAAAAGGCAAAGAAATTTACACATCATCTAAAAATTCCCTTAACTGCTGGTTTCCAACTCCTGCCCCTCCCTAATTTTCTCCCAGTTGCAAACAAGCCAGCGCTGGTCTTAGCTCCCGGTCCGGTCCCGTTTGCCCAGCCCACTTGGTGCTAATGCGCAGTGAAATGGCTGCTGCCCGGTGGACAGGGGAGCTCAGGCCTCCGTCGTCCTCGGAGTGGATCATGGCCCCGTAAACATCACAGCACCACTGGCTTTGGCAGAGGTGGCAGCGAGGTTGGCCTGGCACCTGAACCAAGCGTGGCCCAGCCCGGGAGGAAGGCTTTATGCCCTGCTTCCCAAGTGGACGTTCCAGGAAGGAGTCAGATGATCTGAGTTATGGAAACCAAATGGCCCTCCTTTGTTTAGAGAGAGAGGGGGGAAAAGTCACTCATTTTTGTGGTGAAGTGAAAACAGGCTCCAAACCAAACAATCCCTCTCCGAGCAGAAAATGCCAGCTCCCCAGAGCAGGCCCTCAGCTCGGAGGCTGATAAACTGATGCAAGGCTGCGTCAGGCCCGTCCTGCAGCCTCGGCAAAGCCCTCAGTCCTCCCAGCCAGCTTTTCCTCTGCTTTGCTCCAGAAATATTTGGACTCCCAGGCAGGAAAGGAGGGAGAACGAGAAATGTCTACTTGACTAGGTCAATCTCGTCCTTTCCCTCCTTTCCTGGGATGGAGAAAGGGAAAGGAGCTGTGCAGAGAATGCCCCAGAGTGAGCGTGGACACGAATGGCACGTGGACATGCCGGGCCCTGGCATCTCCCGGGCATGTCACTGCAGGGCGCCAACTCGAGACCTCCTCAGTGTGACCCAGCTCTTCCCTCAGAATGCAGCCAGGAGTCATGAGGCCTGCTGTGGCCGCTCTGTGGCTGCTCCGTGGCTCTGTGGGCAGGCTCCGTGGGCAGCCATCTGCACTCCCAGGTATTACCAGTGCATGCACAGTAGGGTAAACCATGGCCAAAAGAAAATAAATGTAGGCTCTAGTCAGCCATGCCTGTCCTGATTTCAGTTTATTCTCTAATACAAGCCTTCCTGGGATGGAGAGGCTCTTGGAAAGGAAAGAACCACGGAGAATTCAGTTCTAGTCCTGGTGTTGCCTCTGACTTGCTGTGCTTCCCTGGGTCGGGGTTGCCTCTCTGAGCCTCCATTTTGCAACTGGAAAATGAGCCTAATGAACCCTGTCTTAGTTCACAAGGTCACCGTGAAGGAGATAAAGCATGGCTCTTATCAAGCAGTGGCAATCGGACTGCCTGGATATGGATCCACGCTCCCCTTTGTAACATTGGGCACGTTTCTTCCTATGTCAGTTTCCTGCCTTTAAAATGAAGGGACTAACATTTTCCCTGATAACACTCCAGGTTAAATTTGGTTATGTGATGTATGCGAAGCACTTAGAGAGCATGTACACACAGCCTGCCCAGGGAGTATCACTGTCATTATTGACATCATAGACGAGAAAACACCCTATATAATAAAAGCCTAATATGCTAAGTGTCTGACCATTCAACCATTCGACCAGTCACTATGATGCACACTGACCACCAGGGGGCAGACACTCTGACCAGTAGGTTAGCTTGCTGCTGGGGTCCACTGATCAGGACTGGGCAAGACGGGCCGGACACACCCTGGAGCCAACCTCCCTCGGTCCCTCCCCGGCCTCTAACATATTTCTTCTAATTAATTTCCTTTTAATGTGCACAAATCCGTGCACCGGGCCTCTAGTCTTGAAAATAATAATGCTCAGTTCAGGCACTGGGTGACCTGCCACTGTCAAAAGATTCATAATTTCATTCAAAATACCCTCACTATTCTGGCAACATTCTGAATCTGCCATCGTTGATTCCAAATTGGAGGGGAACCTCCAAGAGCTTCCTATTTCTCATAGGAAAAATCCCCAAAGCCCCACCATGGCCTACAAGGCCTCAGTCATTTGGTCCTGCTGCCTTTTCTAGCCTCATGTTGAACCATCGTCTCACTTCAATGCCACAGCCTTGTTGGCCCTCTTTCAGCTCTCCGGAGTCCTGGGCTCCTTTCTGCCCAGGATCTCTGCAGTGCCGCCTCTCTCCCACTCCATCTACTCTCCCCCAGACCTCCAGCCTCAACAGCCTTTCCTCAGGGAGGCAGCTCCTGACCTTCTAGATGAGAGCCAGCCCCTTCTTCTTCTTTGGTATCACCACAATTATAATTAAACTAGAGGCCCAGTGCATTTGTGCATGGGTGGGGTCCCTCAGCCTGGCCCAAGGGGATTGGGCCAAAACCGGCTCTCCGCCATCCCCCGAGGGGTCCCAGATTGCAAGAGGGGAGGGCAGTTCTCGGGGCATGCACATCAGAATAGGGCTCCCTCTTCTCTGGTTCCAGGTACATCACCCAAGAACCGCAGCTGCCAAGTCACTACAGCTCAGCAGCTCCTGTGTTGAGTGTCTGCCCCCTGGCCGTCATTGCGCATCATAGCTACTGGTCAGACGGTCAAACAGTCAGATGGTCGCTTAGGCTTTAAGATTATATATATATATTAATTCGTGTAATTACCAGCAGGTCAGCTCCTTGAGTGAGATGCTTCATCTCTTTTGTTCAGTGTGAGGCCTAGCACAGTGTTTGGCTAATGGTAAATATTCAAAAGAATATTTTTTAATAAAAATGAATGTGTTTAGCCCTAGCCTGTTTGGCTCAGTGGATAGAGCATCGGCCTGTGGACTGAAGGGTCCCGGCGATTCCCGTCGTTGAGGGCACATGCCCGGGTTGTGGGCTCGATCCCCAGTGGGGGGCGTGCAGGAGGCAGCCAATCAATGATTCTCTCTCTTCATTGATGTTTCCATCTCTCTCTTCCTCTCCCTTCCTCTCTGAAATCAATAAAAATATATTTTTTTTAATGAATGTGTTTAAAAACTATCTCCCCTGCAACTTCTATAAAGTCCATGACAACAGAGGCTGTGTTTCTCTCCTCAAAAGCCTGCATTTCTAGCCCATAGTAGTCCTTCAATAAATATTTGTTGGATGGGGGGGGGTGGATGGATGGATGAGTAAATGAGATGGAATAACTTCCCTAGCTTTTCATATTGATAATTTCCCTAGACATCAGGGGGATACTGTAATTGACCACTTCTTCTTCCTTCCATGAGGACATAGTGCTTAGAACTCAGACATGTCCTCTAACTCCCATCCCAGGTGTGTCTGCTCCTGAAATCCAGGCATGGAAGGCATGGGGCTTACTAATTTCCACTTGGGCGAGTGTTTAGTGTCAGCCACATTCAAATGTCACTAAGAGACTTCAATTTCACAAGAAATGCCAATAGTAGAGTATCGTCTTACAATTAAATCTATGCCCAAATCCCTGTCTAACTCAACTTGGACCAAACTTCTTCCTATACAGATCTTTTAAAATCCTATTTATGGCCTACCCTTGAACATACTTTTCATTTGTTCTGCCTTTGCTCATGTCATTCCTCCCACCAGAAATGCCTCTTCCCTATCTCTCCCTAGAATACAACTCAAGTTTTGTGTTCCCTATGACCTCACCACGTCACCCACTAAATGGAGCTCTCTGTCTTCTGAAGCCAAATGCTATTCTGGCTTAGCCACTTTTGTGTTTGTCAGTGCACTTTCTCCATGAATATGGCTTTTCTCTCAAACTAGACTTGGACCCAAAGCTCCCTTAGGACCAGTCTAATATTTTCTTATTTCTTTTCAGTTATGCCTGGTCTGTGCTAAGAACTTGGTCTCTATTTGCTCATTGATTGACTCGACTGGACATACAGAGTCAGAGACTAATATTTAGGAAGGAGACCTTGAGTTCACTCTAGTGAATTTTACAGCTCAAGATGAGTTTCTATTTCATAGAGTCATTGCTTTTCTAGTGTCTCCCAGGACTTGGCTAATAGTCCTTGGGAGTCACAGAACTTAAAGTTATAAACTTGCCTCACTCCTCTTAATCCAATGACTTCCCTTTTACAGATGAGAAGCCCTTTGCTGTGGAAGATACTTATTTGCTGTGCCCAGCACCCATCTTAAAAGAAGTTGGCATGTAAGTCTCCACCAGCAACTAAACCTCAGAGAGGAGAGAGGAGATAGAGGGGACAAAGGGAACAGAAAGAAGTATCTATCTTCGTTGTTATAATGGGGTCTTTCTCTAGACCTCTCCAAGTAATGATGATGAACGATGCTTCCAGTGAGCCAGGCAACAGGATAAATGTTTTACAAAGGGTGTCTCATTCCATCTTCCCAAGTTTCTGACAAAATACTTGTCATCTTGAAGATGCTCAGCTCTTCCCAGTTTTACAGATGTAGAATCGGTGTCTGAGAGAATTTAAGCAGCTTGTCCAAGGTCACACAGCAGTAAATGAAAGAGTTGGGGCTCCAACCAAGGTCTGTCTGGCTTAATCACAACTGCCTTCCAGAAAGCTCTCACACACATTACTTTGCCCCATCATCGTGATTGCCCTACCAGTTGAGTATCACCCCTGCAGAGATAAGGAAGTTCAGAAAGGCTAGGTGGGTCCATAGATGGTCAAGGCCCAGATTCAGACCATCCAAGGCCAAGCTCCGTGCTCCTTCCTCTACGCCTCTGTGGAGCGTACGGTCCATAGAGGCGCAGTCACCCAAACTGCCGGAGGCTCCCTGAACTAACTTATGGGGGAAATGCCGTGATGGTGCAATTATAATAAGTGCTAGTGAAATGTGATTAGGAAATAGTCACTAGAGAAAGAAGGAGAATTAGCACCCTGAACAGGAAAAGAAATCTGTGGGGACCAGAGAAGCAACGTCTGTGAGAGAAGACAAAGCCTCTCCGTGAACGTGTCTGTAACAGGCTGAAGACAGAACGGTGGCTTTAAGGGGGAAATGCTAAACTGGTTCATCTGAATTCTGCCTTCAATCATTTGTTCAAATGGTAAGGCTCCAACTCTGGTTGCCTAACATTGGCCTGTGATTCATTCATTCTGTTGATTCCACAAATACCCCTGTGCCCATCCTGCAAAATGCAAGCTCCTGATTCAGTGAGTCTCATATAGATGAGGAGGTAGAAGGCAACTTTGTTCACCTATTACTGCGCTTCTGTGTTAGTAGTAACAAAACCGCCCCCACCAGAATCAAATCGCTGAGAATCCAGATAACAACAACAGAACGTTAGGTTTACAGATTGATCACTTTAGCCCCACTGATTTGGACCATTTTTTAAGAATCCTTCATCTTGCTACAATGAGACAAGTAAATTAAATGGAAGCAGGCTTTGACCATTCAATGCAATTTGCTGTAATGCAACAAGGGCTGAATGCACTGCCTTGACATGGCAGCCAGATGATTAGTGTATCCTGACATCTCCCTGGAGTTTCAGAGGTGGGAACGGCCCTAGAGACCATGCTCCACATTTTACAAAGGAGACAGCTTAGGCCCCAGGGGAAGAGACTACAGTCCAAAGAGTAGTTGCGAGCAGAGCCCATAGGGGGCCAACGTGTCCAGTTCTCGGTCCCTTGCACCCCATGCTGAGTATCTCTGGTTCCCTTGCTGTCTTTGCAGGAAAGCCGCACTCCAGGTCAGCATGAACGATGGCCTGTCTTTCATCTCCAGTTCTGTCATCATCACCACCACACACTGTGTAAGTCATCACCTGTCCTTTTACCAAAGGCTGCATTGTCATTCTCATGTCCCTGGAAAGTTGTCTGGTTTGCATTCTGTTCTCTGAGTTTTCATCCCAACACTGCTAGGCCAGCTATGGGCTGGGTGAGGGGTGTGCTGCACCCCGGAGTGTGTCAGGAACCCCTGTGTCCGGTTTCTCCAGGCTCCCCATTTCTGTGACTGTGGGTGAGACCTGAAGGCACTGGCATGACCAGATGACAAGACAGGCCAGTGTCTGTGCAGTAGTGAGGGGGGATGTCTGGATGGAGTGGGTTTAGGAGAAAATGCACAGAAAGAAATTGGACAGCATATACAGAAAGCTTGTCTGAAGGAGTTTTTCACTAAAAGGGAACAGGAAAAGGGGCAGTAACTGAAGAAAGATGTATAAAGAGTATAAAGAGAGTCTTTTATTTAGAATGGGAGAAATTGCAGCTTGTTTATATGGTTATGGAAACAATCCAGGAGAAAATGGAAAATTGATGAAGCAGGAAAGAGCAAGGAGGAGGCCCTATGCCACAGGGATTGGGAGGCAGCAGTCGGAACTGCGTCCTCCCTGCCAGCCCCTCCAATGCCCCTTCTCTGGATCCTCCTGTCAGGTAGCTTTGGTTTCTGGCTACACATAAAGTCACTGGGAGAGCTTTTAAAAAGCATTGCTGCCCTGGCCTCATGCCAGACCCATCGAAACAGTCTGGGGCTGGGCCCGAGGCTATGGTTGGGAACACCTGGGCCTGTGTAGTTGCTCCCGCCCACTGTCAGCGTCTGAAGAGTACAGCCCATCAGATGACAATCTGGGTGTGATCAGCTTGAATACAGATCTCAGCCCCTGACATGAGCATTTCCAAAATGACCTTTGTCTGAATATTCAGATTCTGCAGCCAAATGTGCTTTTTCCTTCAGATCATTTTGAGACGAATGAGTTTGACCTGTTGGTCAGCTTGGGCAGATGCTTTGATCAATTCCTGGCTGGCCTTTGAAGGACATGTTTGAACCCCCTCAATAATTGGGGTTCATGTCCTTAACACCATCACAGGTGTAGGAGAGAGAGCAGGCAAGGTTAATGAGCAGGAAGCCAGGCCTCGTGATAGACAGCACTCCCTTCCAACCCGTGCCTCCCCACTCCCACACACACTTTTCAGCCTATGTTAGGAGCAAACCAGTTTTCCTGAAAGCAGTGTAAGCCAGTGCAATGGATATAGACAACAGAAAAGTTTTACTTGACCAAAGGGACTAGAGTTGTCACAAAGAAGTGTCTGAGAAATGTCTACGTCTCAAGGATCTGTCAGTAGAACATCAAATCTGGAGACCAAATATGAAAACTGTGTGCACAAGCAGTGAAATTTCAAGTGTGCCCTGCCTGATTCTTTTAGAAATTGACCCTTTTGGAACCTGCCAACTTGCAGGAAATGATTAAAATACCCCAAATCTAACAACTTCATTCCAGATTCCTCCCTACTCTAAATGATCCAACAATGTGGGCCTGTATTTCTCATTTTGTCTGATCATACCAGAGAAACAGCCATGACCTTGAGGCTGCGTGGGCAGGGAAATGAGAAGGGGAAACATGTCAACCAAACCTGTAGTATGGTAAATATCAATCTGATTTAAGTCCTGGGCCTCTAAGCCAAGAAGAAAGGGTGTCCTTACTAATATACTGCAAAATGAAAAGAACTCCCAGTAAAGTCCCTCTGTACCTTCCTGACTCACTCCAGCGTACACTTACACCTTACATCTTCATCTGGGCGCATGTCTCTAAGCTTTCTGATCAACACCACCTCATAACACTTCTGCATTATTCCCTTTTTCATTTGAGAATGCTGTATGTCTACAACAACGTTATAGCCACCCTACGATTTGAGATCCAGGTCCATTCGTTCATTTACTCAACAAATATTCATTGATCATGCACAATATGCTAGGCATTGCCCTGGGTGCTTGGGATACATCAGAGAACACAACAGACAGAAACCTAGTGGAGAGGGTGACGAGAAAGAAGGCAGATAATAAATAAGAAACATAATAAAGGAATCACACACTATGTTAAAAGATAATATGTTCTATCAAAAAAATAGAGCAGAGTAAGAGGATTTGGTACTTCTTGAGTGAGTATAATGTAATTAGAGATATATTGAGAAGGTGGCATTTGAGTAGAGACTTTGAAGTTGGCTGTGAGACTACTGGGGGAAGAACATATCAATTAGAAAGCCGCAGTGCTTAGATCCCTAAGACCAGACACCTGGTATGTTCTAGGAAGAGCAAGAAGGCCGGTGATCAGTCGCTGGAAGAGAGCAAGCGAGGAGAGCAGTGACAGGGAGGTAAAAGAGTGGAGGGTCTGGTGAGAACTTTGGCTTTTGTACAGAGGTACAGCATGATCAGATTTATATTTGAAAGATCACTCTGGCTGCTGGACCAGCCTGTGGGAAGACAAGGATGGAAGGACTGTCACTCGTTAGGAGGGTTATGGCAATATTTCAGGCCAGAGATGATGCTGGCTTGATTCAGGAGGGAGCAAAGGAGATAAGAGAAGAGGTCAGCATCCGATATATTCTTAAGATAAAGCTAATGGATTTCCCAAAGCATTGGATGTAGGGCTTAAGTGAGAAGAATCAAGAATGGCCCCAAAGTGAATTCTACCAAACATTCAAAGAAGAACTAACACCTATCCTTTTCGAACTATTCCAAAAAATTCAAGAGGAGGGAAGACTCCCAAGCTCATTTTATGAGGCCAGAATTATCCCAATTCCAAAACCAGATGAAGACATTACAAAGAAAGAAAATTATAGTCCAATATCCCTGATGAACATAGATGCTAAAATTTTCAACAAAATGTTAGCAAACTGGATCCCCCAATACATTTAAAAGATGTACCATGACCAAGTGGGATTTATTCCACAGTTACAAGGTTGATACAATAGTCACAAATCAATAAACGTGGTATTTCACATAAACAAAATGAAGGATAAAAATCACATGATCCTATCAATAGATTCAGAAAAAGCATTTAATAAAATCCAGCACCCATATATGATAAAAGCTCTCAGCAAAGTGGAACTAGAAGGATCATACCTCAAGGTATAGCCAACATCATACTCAAGGAGCAAAAACTAAAAGTGTTTCTCTTAAGAACAGGAACAAGACAAAGATTTCTGCCTTCACCATTTTTATTCAGCATAAGAAATAAAGGGGGAAAAATAAACAAGTGGGACTATATCAAACTAAAAAGCCTCTGCACAGCAAAAGAAACCATCAACAAAATGAAAATATGGGAGGACATATTTGCCAATGATACATCTGTTAAGGGGTTAATTTCCAAAATATATAAAGAACTTATACAACTCAACAAAAGGAAGACAAACAATCCAATTTAAAAAATGGGCAAAGGATCTGAATAGACACTTCTCCAAAGAGGACATACAGATGGCCAAGAGACATGAAAAAATGCTCAAAGTCACTAATCATCAGAGATGCAAATTAAAACCACGATGAGATATCACTTCACACCTGACAGAATGGCTATCATCAATAAAGCAACAAACAACAGTGCTGGCAAGGTTGTAGAGAAAAGGGAACCCTCATGCACTGTTGATGGGAATGCAGACTGGTGCAGGCATTGTGGGTAACGGTATGGAGTTTCCTCAAAACAATTAAAAGTGGAACTGTATTTTGACCCCATGATTCCACTTCTAGGAATATATTCAAAGAAACCTGAAACGCTAATTTGAAAGAATATATGCACCCCTGTGTTCATTGCAGTGGTATTTACAATAGCCAAGATCTAGAAACAGCCCAAATGCCCATCAGTAGATGAGTGGATAAAAAAGCCACAGTACATTTACACAATGGAATACTACTTAGCCATAAAAAAGATTAAAATTCTACCTTTTGCAACAGCATGGATGGACCTGGAGAATGTTATTCTTAGTGAAATAAGCCAGTCAGAGAGAGACAAATACCATATCATCTCACTTATATGTAGAATTTAATGAATGAAATAATTTAACAAACAAAATAAAAACAAAAGCATAGATATATAGAACAGACTGACAGCTATCAGAGGGGAGGAAAGTTGGGACGCTGGGTAAAAAAAGGTGAATGGATTAAGCAAAAAAAATAGACAGATAGATAGACAATAGCCAGATAGATGATGATGATGATGATGATGATGATGATAGATAGATAGATAGATAGATAGATACACACAGAGAGAGATGGTGATAGCTATAGGGGAAAGGGGGTGGGGAGAGGTAGAAGAGAGCAAAGGGGGATGGATAAGTGAGGACAGAAAGGGGCTTTATTTCAGGCAATGGGCACAGGATGCAGTGTGCAGATGATGTTTTGTTGAGTTGTACACTTGAAACCTGCAAGGTTTTGTTAATCAATGTCACCCCAATAAACTCAATAAATAAATAAATTAATTTTTTAAAAGCCCTGGCCAGGTGGCTCAGTTGATTGGAGCCTTGTACCATACACCAAAAGAGTTGCAAGTTCAATTCCTAGTCAGGGCACATACCTAGATTGCAGGTTCAGTCCCCAGTCAGAGTGCATACGGGAGGCAACTGATCTATGTTTCTCTCACATCGATGTTTCTCTCTCTCTCTCTCTCTCTCTCTCTCTCTCTCTCTCTCTCATCAGTAAAAGCATATTCTTGGTTGAGGATTAAGTAAAAAAAGAATGGCCCCCAAGCGTTTTGGCCTAAGTAACTGAAAGGATGGAATTGCCCTCAGCTGACAGGAGGAAGATTGAAGGAGAAGATTTGGTGTCGAGGGGGAAAGTCTGGAGATCAGTTTTGCTGTTGACTAGTTGCATGGCCTTGACCAAGTTGTGTTAGCCCCTTTGTGCCTCAATTTTCTCATCTGTAAAATTTGAATAATAATACTCTACACCTCTTAGCAGTTCTCAATATGAAATGAAATAACATGTGTAAAGTTCTTGGCAGAAGGCCTGGCAGGTAGTAAGAGCTCAATAAATATTAGCTATTATCAT